TGACTTCATATTTGGTAAGTGGCTTGACCATGATGAGTTGTGTCTGCCATTTTGGATGTGTCAAAATTTGTAGATACTTCTTGTTTTTAGAGACTTTGAATTGTGAATTTCATATGCTTAGCAAAACAACTGATTTAATCTTGTTTGTATATAGAATTTATCACTGTGTATAAATTAATTTAACTAATGATTTGTTATTTAAAAAAGCAGGAAACTCAATCAACAGTACAGAAATTTTTATATTGATATTATCTGGATATCAACCAAAAACATCTTCTTAAAACATTTTGAAAACATTTTTAGGCACTGTCTCACTTGCAAGAAAACATCCAAAAAACATTTTTATAACATTATTTGATGTTCATGATGTTTTTCAAACGTTCAGAAAATATTTCTAGAAAATATTTTTTAAAAGATTATCAAAATGTTTTATACGCCATTGTTTTTCACATTATCATGATATTTCTTTACAAAACATTTTAATTATATTATGCAAATATTCTAGAAAATATATTAGAAAACGTTTTAGCGATATATATTCTACCATACATTTAATGTTTTTCTCACGTTTTTTTGTGATATTTTCATGACATTAGACACAACATTTTAAAAACATTTTAAAGATGTTTTTGTGTTTGCTGGGTTCGTATACATTTTTATTAATATTTAAAATTTCAAATGCGGAAATTGCGTTAGAAATTAATTGAATGTATCCGTTATAGTAGGTGGCCCAGTCAACGAATTTGATCGATTTGGGTTAACGGAATAACACCGGGCTGTATTTTACATCACTGGAAATAGAAGAAAAAACCTCATCGAAATACCGTTGTCGTCGTTGTCTATAGTGGTCACGTTTTTCTAAAATTTGGATCGAAGATCAAGCTCAAATTCCACGGAAAATGCAAAGTCACATTTAGACAGCTAACCGCCCCAACACACATTCGTTAATAATAATATCAATTCGAATAATGATTCTATATTTAGAACTAATTTGCTATTTCTGTTGCCAAATATTATTCGTGATTGACATTTGTACTTAAAGGGGGTACACTTTTTATTCAGCTGTTAAATAATGGGTTTTTTAACAATGACCTTAAGCGATTACAATTGCAAAATTTGGGATTTTATATTAAATTCGATACAAGTGAACTCTAGAAATGTTTTTAAATATCAACATCTATAAGAAAATGGTCGAAGCTAGTTGTAGCTATTACGTTCATTGTCTACTGTTAGTTTGGAATCCTACCGACCACGTCCAAGTCAGTGTATTACTCATTTTTATTTCATTTGGTAAACTGTTCCATATTTGAGAACCTGAATATGTAAATGTTTTCTTTAAAAAGTTTGTTTTTGGTTTCGGAAGATTTAATAGTTTTCATTAGCTGAACGTAAATTATAATTCTGATTACCAATAAAATGAAAGTTTTCTTGTAAATAGTTAGGAACCATATCATTTAATGATTTAAATACAAGTATTGCCTTTTGATATTGAATGCGTTTTTCCATATTTAACCAGTTTAAACTATTAAACAACAAACTGGATGATGTCATTATGTCAGCTTCTACTATAACCGTAGCAGATTTCTTTAATAACTTATTAAGTTTATTTAGTCCACTTTCATAACAACTTCCTCAAATATTGCAACAATAATTAAACAATGGCAGAATATAAGCATTAGAATAAATAATACGTATATGCATAGGTAAATATTTTCTTATCTTTTGTATTAAATTGATTCTATTTGATATTGTACATGACATTTTATATATTTGCTCATTCCAATTTAGGTTTTTGTCGATATATAAACCGAGAAGTTTTTCACAACATACATTCTCTATTTGTTCATCTGAAATTTTGATATCAAAACTGTTCTCAGTTGAATAAAGCCTCTGTTTTGAACTAATAATTATTGATTTACACTTTTTGGCATTTAGTTTCATACAATTTTGCGAACACCAGTTTTCAATTACATGAATATCATTTTGAAGGTTAGCAGTTAACTGAAGTACATCATTACCTTTACTATGTAATGTATGTAGAATCATCTGCATATAAATCTATTAATGAATTTTCTATGTTCAGTGGTAAATCATTGATATATAAAATAAATAACAGAGGGCCAAGGATAGAGCCTTGTGGTACACCAGTTTTTATGCATTTAGTATTAGACATTACGTTATTGACCTTAACTTGTTGACTTCGTTCATACAAGTATGACTTAAACCAGTCTAGTGTACAGTTTGAAACATTATAATATTCAAGCTTTTTTAATAAAATAATATGATTAACCAGATCAAAAGCTTTCTTTAAATCTAAAAATATAACTCCGTTTATTTCTCCATTATCTATATTTGCTAACCATTCATCAACTAATTTAGTAAGTGCAGTTGTGCACGAATGTTTAGGTCTGAAACCTGACTGTGTAGTATTAAGAAGGTCTTATACTATTTAAATATATATACAAACTATTAGCTATATGTCGTTCTATGATTTTGGAGAGACAAGGCAAAACTGCTATTGGTCTATAACTATCGCCACTTTTAAAAATTGGGCAAACTCTTGCAGTTTTAAAAATATTTGGAAATTTACCACATTTGATGCTTAGATTAAATAAATATGTTAAAGCTGGTGCAATGACATCGCTGCACATACTAAAAATATTTGGTCCAACATCATCTAAACCAGTTGCTTTAGACTTGTCAAGTTTTTTTAAATATATTTTTACATCTAAAATACTCATTTCTGGTATAATGAATTTTTCTCTTCCCCTTTGAAACTTTGATTTCACAAATTTGTTGAGTACATCGAAACTTGGACCTTCATCATTATTACATAATTTGTTATCAACTATACCTTCAGCAATATTTGTGAAATGCACATTAAATGTATTTGCTATATCAACATTATTTTGAATTACACTATTTTTATATTCCAAATGCGTGATATTATTATGTAATTTTTTAGGATTTAGACTTTTGACATACTTCCAAATAGTTTTACTATCTTTACAATTTGAAATAGCATTTTGGAAATAATTTTTCTTTGCCTGTTCTACTAAAAATGTAACCTTATTACGCCAAATTTTATAATTATATATATCCCTAATTCTATGAAAATAATCTCTTTGGTGTCTAGCGGTATTTATATTTTAAGGGACAGAAAACCTGGATGCTTCACACCTTGTATATAGATGCGTTGTGCTATGAAGTTTCCATCTGTCATGTGAATGTTTCACTTATTATGAATTATAGGGTAACTATATTTGGTTACTAGTACATAGTATACTTGCAAGTCTACACATCCTTCAGACATGGTTCCCCTGACATAGATCTCATTTCAGGAACCAGTAAGGTTAGATTTTCGGGGTCAAGTGAGTATCTCAGATACTATGAGTGTTGGGTAAAATATATTTGGTGTAATCTGAATACTAATTTCGTGCTAGTGACATGTAATAATTTTTCGATTTTTTCGATTAAAATGTGCTAAATTTCAAGTAAAATTTGACTAAAATAGTGAAATGCTTATACAAAATTACTTAAATATTTTCCGCTTTAAATTTCGTGATATAATATATTTAATACATAAACTATATTCGAATTACTATATCAACCACCAACATAGAGTGTAATAATATTATTTCTCATGTTTAAGTTTCTAGTACAATACGATATCTGGGAGTACCCTGTAAAAAAACGAAATTTAGAAAATCGTGACCAGGGGCACTGACCACGACTATCATGATTGTAAAATATAATGATTTTCCCATAATTTGAAAATGAATTTAGCCGTCTGTTATTCCGTTAACTTAAACTCGTTAACTAGATGCCTATTTGACACTGGGCATCCTACTATTATACCTTCATAGGGAACATAAATGGTTTACTTTTATAAATTTTGACTTGGATGGAGAGTTGTCTCATTGGCACTCATACCACATCTTCTTATATCTATAAATAAGTAGATATCCAATTTTTGAGACTTTTTCATTTAGAAAAGGGTAAAGCTTGAATAGATTTTAATACAAATGAATACTAGTAATTATCAAAAAATGTTTTTTTCTTTTGTCTATGTCCTTTCCATTCATTAACCTACAAATGAAAGAAAATAGTTATTCAAATGAAAAACAAAACAAAACGAATTTTACTTTCCGTTCAACGCGCATGTCAGCTATACAAAGGTTAATGCACTAATGCTACATGGAAATAGGTGTTGGTTGTTCTTTCTCGGTTTGCTATGTTTGTAAAAAGTACCTTTTTATGATTTGTTTCAAATGACTGTTTGCATGTTTGTGCGTATGACTAGTTATTATAATTGTCCACTTTTAATCTTTTGTTAATGAACACTGGACACTTTTAATTTGCAAAACACTCATTTGCAAATCCGCCGCCGCCTCTCCTTAGACCTACAGTGTCGTGTAAATAACCAAAATGTGCGGAATTACATGGGATTTAAATAATTTCATTGCTTTTCTGCTGTTATTATTATATATATTTTGTAATTTGATTTAGAAAAACATGGGATTTTCAATATCCCATGGGATAGGGCAAATCTCATGGGATTGACCATTATCCCATGGGATTTTGGTTAAATCCCATAGGATTTTTTTGGATCCCATGGGATAATTGTAGTCCCATGGGATATTTGTTGTCCCATGGGACAAAAAAAATCCCATGGGACTATAATTATCCCATGGGACTATAATTATCCCATGGGATTTTCAATATCCCATGGGACAAAATAAAATCCTATGGAATTCAAATTATAAATATACAGTAATGTGTATGTTACAATGAATTCTGTTTGGTAGTAAAAAGTTTATAATATATATAAGAGTGTATTTTGGTTTTTTTCATTTTGTCACAAACATGTTTTTAATTTGTTTATATGACAATAAAGATTATTATTTTGGAAATATAATAATATTTAAAGTCAAAAAATAAAATCCTTTAACTGAAATAAAATTATGACGTCTTAATAAAAGAAAAAATTTTGATTTGAAATCTTTGTCTTCTTTGTTTTATTATGAAAAATAGAACTGAAAAAAATATTTCATATTCTGACTGAATAAATTGACAAAGCACAGTTAATAGTTTACTCTTTTCATGAGGTAAAGTTTTCTTTGTTATAGTTCCATTGCAATACATGAATATGCAAACGATTTGAATCTTATTCCTTTGTGGTGTTCATAATATTACATTTATATTTGTAAATTTATAAAATAAACACTTTTCCTGTTAAGTTTTAGTTTTCTTGTTTCAGCTTGCTATGAACAATTATTCAGTCCACTATAAAAGAGTCAAGTAAATAAATTATTTCATCCACTAGAATGTTCCTACAATTCTTAGACAAAACATTTTTGCAATCTGTTCTTCAAAAATCTTCCTCCGTACATCTTTATTGGATGGAGCGATTTAAATGAGTGGACAAAGCAAGTTCATTTGGACAACAAAATACTAATATATTTTTTCATTCCTCCCTTCTTTCAATTGATAATTACGTTGTTGCATTTACATGATTAAGTTCTTGAGCATCTATGATCATGATGATATGACTCCTTTTTGTTTATAGTCATTATGTTGAAATTTCCTCTTTCTTATGTAGGAAAAAAAAACACATTCCATTTCAAATTAATAAAAAAGTCACACTATGTAGAAAAATATCAACTTTAAGTTTGCTGTTCAGTATTGACCTGTTGAATGATGATCATGAAAACCAAGATGTCTGACCTACAAATACACAAAACTCAAAAATTATAAATGAAGAGAAATACAGCAATAAAATGGCTATTTTATCTTGTTTATGTACATTTTGATAAAAATTTCATTTGAATATTTAAAATTGTAAGAACTCTTATTTCAGTGCTTTGTGTCTATGGTTTTCATATTAGTTGTTTTTTGTGCCTTGTTGCAGTCTTTTGAGTTAAGCCAATTGCAACAAATGTTTACAGTTTGTTCAAATGTTGTGCTGTTATTAAAACCACTGTCCCAGGTTAGGGGTGGGTTGGGTGCTCACTAAATGTTTATTTTATTAGTTGATATTTGCTTTGAATTAGCTGTCAGTAACTGCGAGTACTAATAGATCTGTATGTTGAGTCTTTTTTGTTAAAGGGAAAGAAAAAATTTCCAGCCACATCCGGTCTGTGTTTTTGGTAGCTGTTTTTCTGCTTTGTTGCATTCTAATGAGTTAATAAAATTGAGAATGAAAACGGGAATGTATCAAAATAACCTGACCCAAGAGCAGAAAAAAACCCTTTTCAACTGATTTTATAGTTTTTATATTGAACTGACACTTACACCACTGTCCTTAATTAGAGGAGGATTTGGCGCCAGCAAACATGTTAAACCATGCCACATTTTGTAAGTGTCTGTCCCAAGTCAGGGGTCTATTATTCAGTGGTTGTCAATTGTTGCTATATATCATATTTGTTTTTTGTTTATTGTTTTGTGCAAAAATCAGGCACTTGGCTTTCACCTTTGTGGTGTTTCCCCCAAGCATGTTTAGCATGGATAGACACCATGCCCTTTTTAAATGACGCCATGCCCTTATTGAATTGTTTTACATTTGTTATTTCATGGCCTTTTATGGATTACTATGCAGTATAGAGTTTGCTCATTGTCGAAGGCTGTACAGTTAACTAATTTTGTTAAATTTAATGTCATTTGATCTCTATTGGAGAAAAGTCTCATTGGCAATCGTACCGCTTCTTATTTTTATATCAACCCTGCCATATTTTGCCTGTCATTATTTACAGGTCATCATTGGCCTCTAATAAGTAATTGCATTGCTTACATCCACTTAATTGAACTCTGGTGGATAGTTTTCTCATTTATCATACCACATCTTATTTTCATAATAATCATTATTCAAGGGCAATAACTTTTATAGAAGTGGACTTACCATTTAGGCTTTGTTGACGTCTGTAAATCTATTTTTGTTGATAATTTCTTTTGTTTATAGTTTCCCTTTATCTTAAATGTTCTTGCCCTACACATAAAAGGGTAAACATTATCGTTTGATGACAATAACTACTATTACATAATGAGTAGGCAACTGACAATTTTGGATCATTTGTATCTTGTCTTGCTCATCATTTTTGCTTGATATTATCAATATTCTATGAAAATAAGGTCTCAGTAATATTAAACTTGGCAGACAGACATCTTCTTATTTTTATTTGACACCTTGCAGTCATTCCATACACCAACAAGTATACATATGCTTATAATATCTGATAAAATGAATAAAATGCTCCGCTGGGCGCAGCTTGATACGACCGCAGAGGTCGATCCCTGAACAGTTGGGGCAAGTATGGACACAACATTCAAGCTTGATACAGCACTGAATTTGGATTGTGATTAAATATTTGACACAGCATAGGTTTCTGACACAGAATGAATGTGGTCTAAGAACTTAAAAAATTTTAATTTACCTATTCAAACCATATCATTATTATTTGCTTTTATATATAAATCAGAAATAACCAATTTAAAATGGAAAATTTTAAAGAAAAAAAAAGGAAAAAAAGGGGAAAAAAAATCCCCCCCCAAATTTTTTGAACCCCCTTATGATTCATCACCCCAAACTCAATCCCAGCCTTCCCTTTGTGGTATGGTACCTTGCAGTACAATTTCAGAAAGATCCATACACTTATACACAAGTTATTGTCTGGAAACTAGAAAAATGCTTGTTTTTTTGGCCCCTTTTTGGCCCCAAATTCCTAAACGTTTAGGGCAATTACCCCCAAACTCAAACCCAGCTTTCCCTTTGTGATATGGAACCTTGTAGTACAATTTCAGAAAGATCCATACACTTACACACAAGTTATTGTCATGAAACTAGAAAAATTCTTGTTTTTTGCCCCTTCTTTGGCCCCTTATTCCTAAAATTTTAAAGCAATTGCCCCCAAAATCAATCCCAGCCTTCCTTTTGTGGTATGGTACCTTGCAGTACAATTTCAGAAAGATCCATACACTTATACACAAGTTATTGTCTGGAAACTAGAAAAATGCTTGTTTTTTTGGCCCCAAATTCCTAAACGTTTAGGGCAATTACCCCCAAACTCAAACCTAGCTTTCCCTTTGTGTTATGGAACCTTGTAGTACAATTTCAGAAAGATCCATACACTTACACAAAAGTTATTGTCATGAAACTAGAAAAATGCTTATTTTTGGCCCCTTCTTTGGCCCCTTATTCCTAAAATTTTAAAGCAATTGCCCCCAAAATCAATCCAAGCCTTCCCTTTGTGGTATGGTACCTTGCAGTACAATTTCAGAGAGATCCTTAGACTTGAACACAAGTTATTGTCTGGAAACTAGAAAAATGCTTATTTTTGGCCCCTTATTCCTAAACGTTTTGGGCAATTACCCCCAAACTCAATTCCAGCTTTCCCTTTGTGATATGGAACCTTGTAATACAATTTCAGAAAGATCCATACACTTACACACAAGTTATTGTCATGAAACTAGAAAAATGCTTGTTTTTTGCCCCTTTTTTGGCCCCTAATTCCTAATATTTTGAGGCAATTACCCCCAAAATCAATCCCAGCCTTCCCTTTGTGGTATGGTACCTTGCAGTACAATTTCAGAAAGATCCATACACTTATACACAAGTTATTGTCTGGAAACTAGAAAAATGCTTGTTTTTTTGGCCCCTTTTTGGCCCCAAATTCCTAAACGTTTAGGGCAATTACCCCCAAACTCAATTCCAGCTTTCCCTTTGTGATATGGAACCTTGTAGTACAATTTCAGAAAGATCCATACACTTACACAAAAGTTATTGTCATGAAACTAGAAAAATTCTTGTTTTTTGCCCCTTCTTTGGCCCCTTATTCCTAAAATTTTAAAGCAATTGCCCCCAAAATCAATCCCAGCCTTCCTTTTGTGGTATGGTACCTTGCAGTACAATTTCAGAAAGATCCATACACTTATACACAAGTTATTGTCTGGAAACTAGAAAAATGCTTGTTTTTTTGGCCCCAAATTCCTAAACGTTTAGGGCAATTACCCCCAAACTCAAACCTAGCTTTCCCTTTGTGATATGGAACCTTGTAGTACAATTTCAGAAAGATCCATACACTTACACAAAAGTTATTGTCATGAAACTAGAAAAATTCTTGTTTTTTGCCCCTTCTTTGGCCCCTTATTCCTAAAATTTTAAAGCAATTGCCCCCAAAATCAATCCCAGCCTTCCCTTTGTGGTATGGTACCTTGCAGTACAATTTCAGAAAGATCCATACACTTATACACAAGTTATTGTCTGGAAACTAGAAAAATGCTTGTTTTTTTGGCCCCTTTTTGGCCCCAAATTCCTAAACGTTTAGGGCAATTACCCCCAAACTCAATTCCAGCTTTCCCTTTGTGATATGGAACCTTGTAGTACAATTTCAGAAAGATCCATACACTTACACAAAAGTTATTGTCATGAAACTAGAAAAATTCTTGTTTTTTGCCCCTTCTTTGGCCCCTTATTCCTAAAATTTTAAAGCAATTGCCCCCAAAATCAATCCCAGCCTTCCTTTTGTGGTATGGTACCTTGCAGTACAATTTCAGAAAGATCCATACACTTATACACAAGTTATTGTCTGGAAACTAGAAAAATGCTTGTTTTTTTGGCCCCAAATTCCTAAACGTTTAGGGCAATTACCCCCAAACTCAAACCTAGCTTTCCCTTTGTGATATGGAACCTTGTAGTACAATTTCAGAAAGATCCATACACTTACACAAAAGTTATTGTCATGAAACTAGAAAAATTCTTGTTTTTTGCCCCTTCTTTGGCCCCTTATTCCTAAAATTTTAAAGCAATTGCCCCCAAAATCAATCCCAGCCTTCCCTTTGTGGTATGGTACCTTGCAGTACAATTTCAGAGAGATCCTTAGACTTGAACACAAGTTATTGTCTGGAAACTAGAAAAATGCTTATTTTTGGCCCCTTTTTGGCCCCTTATTCCTAAACGTTTTGGGCAATTACCCCCAAACTCAATTCCAGCTTTCCCTTTGTGATATGGAACCTTGTAATACAATTTCAGAAAGATCCATACACTTACACACAAGTTATTGTCATGAAACTAGAAAAATGCTTGTTTTTTGCCCCTTTTTTGGCCCCTAATTCCTAATATTTTGAGGCAATTACCCCCAAAATCAATCCCAGCCTTCCCTTTGTGGTATGGTACCTTGCAGTACAATTTCAGAAAGATCCATACACTTATACACAAGTTATTGTCTGGAAACTAGAAAAATGCTTGTTTTTTTGGCCCCTTTTTGGCCCCAAATTCCTAAAATTTTAAAGCAATTGCCCCCAAAATCAATCCCAGCCTTCCTTTTGTGGTATGGTACCTTGCAGTACAATTTCAGAAAGATCCATACACTTATACACAAGTTATTGTCTGGAAACTAGAAAAATGCTTGTTTTCTTGGCCCCAAATTCCTAAACGTTTAGGGCAATTACCCCCAAACTCAAACCTAGCTTTCCCTTTGTGATATGGAACCTTGTAGTACAATTTCAGAAAGATCCATACACTTACACAAAAGTTATTGTCATGAAACTAGAAAAATTCTTGTTTTTTGCCCCTTCTTTGGCCCCTTATTCCTAAAATTTTAAAGCAATTGCCCCCAAAATCAATCCCAGCCTTCCCTTTGTGGTATGGTACCTTGCAGTACAATTTCAGAGAGATCCTTAGACTTGAACACAAGTAATTGTCTGGAAACTAGAAAAATGCTTATTTTTGGCCCCTTTTTGGCCCCTTATTCCTAAACGTTTTGGGCAATTACCCCCAAACTCAATTCCAGCTTTCCCTTTGTGATATGGAACCTTGTAATACAATTTCAGAAAGATCCATACACTTACACACAAGTTATTGTCATGAAACTAGAAAAATGCTTGTTTTTTGCCCCTTTTTTGGCCCCTAATTCCTAATATTTTGAGGCAATTACCCCCAAAATCAATCCCAGCATTCCCTGTGTGATATGGAACCTTTTGGTACAATGTCAGAGAGATCCATACACTAACACACAAGTTATGTCTGGAAGTTACAAAAATGCTTATTTTTGGCCCCTTTTTGGCCCCTAATTCCTTAACTGTTGGTACCATAACCCCCAAAATCAGTCCTTATGGTAAAATTTCATAGAGATCCATTCACTTAAACTAAATTTAGAGTGCGAAAACCAATATGTCTTCGGACGACAACAACGCCAACGTCATACCAATTTTTTGCGGTCGTATAAAAAACCAAGAAAACTTAGCATTGACCAAAGAACCATAAAATGCGATCATGATTATATGAATCTGCCAGACAGACATGAACACCTTACAATCGTTACATCCGCCAAATATAATTTACTTGTTGCTTAAAGCATATGATAAACTGACAAAACAATGCAAACTTTTCATTGACCAATGAACCATGAAAATGAGGTCAAGGTCATATAAAACATGCCAGACAGACATGTGCATCTCACAATCATTCCATTTACCAAATATAGGGGCCTTATTCATGTTTTTGCTTACAGTATCCGAAAAAAACCACAAAAACTAAACATTGTCCAATGTACTATGAAAATAAAGTCAAAGTAAGATGAAACTTCTCAGTCAGACATATGCACCTTACAATCATTCCATACACCAAATATAGTTGACCTATTGCTAATTTGAAAATAAGAAAATAGAAAAACTGACCAAAAAACAATAAAATAACATTGAGCAATGAACCATAAAAATGAGGTCAAGGTCGAATAAAACATGCCAGACTAACATGTACATCCTTAAAAATTTTCATACACCAAATATACTTGACATGTTGCATACAGTATTAGAAAAACTGGACATTTTTACCTAGGAATAGTGATGTCATGGACTAGGAAAATTAGTCTTGGGACATAAATTACTGACATCGGACTAAATATATTAGTAAATTCTGTATCCATGGACTTTTTATACTAGTTATATTTGTCTGACCAGACAATTTATCTCTTACACTAGTTCTCAGA